TTAGCAGGTTAATTCCCCCTGACACAAAGCTAAAAGGGTTCTGAAACATTTTAACAAGTCTAACAAGTGTTGACCACGTTTCTAAAATTCCCAGATCCCAGTCCAATCAATCCTTTTGCACAATGAGCTCAAGAAACAAGTCTGATCCAGTCACGCGCCAACCTGCAGCTTACGGGACTTAAAAGATCTGGTGCTAACAATGCCATTCATTCACGCCTGCATGAAAGTAATATTTTGATTATTAATCTTCTTTTCTTTTGTTTTTTTTTTGTGGGGGAACTGGGAAAATGCAGGTTTACAGGACATGACATGTTTATCTCAACATTCAGCAAAAGCTGCATCTCTTCCTGCTTCCTGATAGGCTGAAGCTCCCATTTCCTTTTATCTGCTCAATCTTACCTTTCAGCAACCGCCTGCTTAGGAATATTTTGGTTTGACAAGAAGTCATTATTTGCCATATTTACATCAAATGGGCCAAATAATTTTTTTTAAAGCCATGACAACAAAGACTTTGTCTTTTTATAGCTCAGAGTTTCAAAATGGAAGTCGTTCAGTAGCTTCCACCCGCAAATGTTGTCTTTGAAAATGACTCTGAAAAAGCTGCTTATTTGGTTAAATTTACCCAGCAGTAACATCTGACTTTAACAGTGTTTAATTTGGAAAGTCCTTTTAGCTGGAGCTTGCTCTGCTGTTTACAAGGAGTCACATCAAGAATCTGAGGCTTCAGTGCACTCAAACTCTTAAACTAGCCACAGTTTCTGCTAAATGAGGTCTGAACAAATGGATCCTTGATCTTTTACAAGTGTGTCCACATGTGTTTTCAGCGCAGGCGATTGAATCAGTCAGCATGGATGTTTCTGAAACGTGTGGCATGAATATTTGTTTTGTTTCCTCAAATGTTTGTTTGTAAAACAGAAATGTCTCGTAAAAATGAATTCCTGGTGGATAGACGGCTGTGCAGAAACAGAAGAACATGATGCTTTTTTCATTCATAAAGTGCTGTTGAAGTTTATAGCGATTAAGCTAATTTACCTCGAAAACATCCACAAAAAGCAAACAAACAAAAAATTGCTTAAGTTTTCCCAAGAAAGCTTAAAAATGTGCATCATTTCCTGTCACTTTTCTGGTCCTCAGAACAGCAGCTGCACACTTTTTCTGCCTCAGGCTCCGCGGTTTAATTTGCTTTTTTGCGTGTCGTAACTCATCTGGACCTCAGGACGCAATCGTTCTCTCACCACACGTTGATGCGCACAGTCTGCAGAGACGGCCTGTGCTTTGAGCATACCTGTGGATGCAGACATACTTTTCCTTCTCCTGTGTGTCAGTCTAAGGTTCTCTGGAAACATCTTCATCACTACCCAGAAGCCCTTAGATGGAAAACATGTTTGCGTCTGTCACATCACCGTGCATCTGTTTCCCTCATAGCAGTCCACTCCACTTCACTCCACCTCAGTCGCTCTCTCTGTCTCCCTCTGCGGCAGAAGGCTCATGTTGTCGCTTTTTCTGTTTTCCTGTCTTGCACCAAGATTTAAACTTAGCAGACTGACTGTTATGAGACAAGACAGGAGAGGAGGATGCCCTCATCCACACCTCGACCTTTCTTATGAAACACAAGAAAATAGGTCAGAGGTGTGTGTTGAGTAAGTCGCCTGAAGGCTCGTTATTTAACAGAGGAAATGGGCGGCGCCTGGTTGTCCAGCAGCCAAACCGAACACACGCACACGGAGACAAACAGACAGTTGTTATGCCTGGGGAAGAGTGGTGTTGATGAAAGTCGGGCTCCGGCAGCTGTCTTTCTTTTTTCTGCCTCGCATCATGTCTGGACCTGAAATAGGTCAGTGGGACAGCACAGGTGTCACAAAGGCCTGGCGGGCCTCCAGAGCTCTGCAGCTGCAGGCGAAGGGGAAGCATCACTTGAGGCGTCAGGTGGACAAAATGAGCCAGAAACGTGGAAATCTGCAGTTCTAGTGGCCAGTTTCAGCACTGAAGAAGAGGTGGAAGACTGGTGAATCGCAGCACAGTTGAGACACTAAAAAAAACCCAATATTTACTAGTTGATGTAGTTGGAATCACAGGAGAAATGTCATAAATCAAATTATAATAATAAGCCGCAGCATGCTACCAATCACAGAAATTAATTTTGGTTGTACAGAATGATAACTGTAACCCATTTGGACTGGAAGGACAGACTTTTTTTTTTCACACTGGAAAAATCAGAAGGAATGACGCTGGAATTCTGATGTGGAAAGTCCGGCCGGCTGGCCGCAGTCGCTACGAAACCCAGTACATTTAGCAGAAATAAACAATCTAAGTGTAATCTTACCTTGTTTAGTCTTTGTAAAATAGCCACACGACGCAGCGAAAGTGGTGAAATTTCCTTAGAACCGGATTTCTGAGAAGTGTCGTCCTCAGATTAATGAAAACTTTCCAAAAGCCAGCAATAAAAACATCTGAATCGTCTCAGAGAAAAGACTGAGCAGAGGAAAAAATTGGAGATTTGATTTTATTTTACTATCATGTCAGTAACTCACCAGAATGAATGAGTTAGGCATCTTTTATCTACAATACAAGACCACACTGTGATAAAAAAAAAGGTCTCTGATTTATTTTACCTTAAATTAGAGACTTTTTTGTTTTTGTTTTATTTTTTTACAGTGCACCCTTTCTCTCAAATTTCAAAGATTTACTGAAACAGTAAACCAGTAATATTTACACTCTAGACCAATCAAAAACCTCCCCAACACATGCGTATCAAATCCTCAACAGGTCACTGATGGCTCCAACTCGGCTCATGTCGGAATGATTGTACAATTTCACCGAAAACATCAAAAGTGAAATAAAAACCGCATTCGTGCTTTTTAGAATTATTTTATAAATGCTGTGTTGGATCTAAAACGGAGGAGGGATAAAAACGACACGAGGAGTTTCACTGCTCACTTTAGCATGTGAGGCAAAGCTGGCACCAAAGTCTCTTTAAACAGGAGAACGTTACCGGGGCGGCTGGTGTTTCGTGGCAACTTTAAGTGAGAGCAGAAGCATGCAGGTTTAATGTAACGGGCTTTAAGAGGCGAACGGAGGACTGGAAATGCTAATGTCAGTGAGGAAATTAGTCAGAAATGCAGACAAAGACACAGCCAGACACACAACTGAATAATAAAAGAGGATCTCTTGCCGAACACTGGCTTGACGTCTCATTTAAGCAATTTGTCCCAATTACCTGAGAGCCTCAGCCTTATGTTGTAATGGCTGCACTGGAAGGAACAACTTCTCTTTTTGGCAAAGTTTCTCTTTGTTCTGCCAAGGCTGACTGATCAGCAAAATCATAATGAATGTCTTAAAATAAAAAAAAAGAAAATGGCTGATTTCTTGGGGAAAACAGGGTAAACATTCCTGGGAAAACATCCTAATTCCCAAACGTTTGGTTAGACCTGTTGAGGAAAAATCCCACATCTTTCATCTGCATGTCTCTAAATGCCCTGCAGGTTGCCGTTTTCATTTTTTTTTATTTTCCCCCTATGCGGCACATCGCTTATGCTCATCAGTTGTTCCTGTTTTCTCAGTGTGCCACTTTTGGACATCCAGATGTTACAGGAAATCGGTAAAAATAAGTTGAACTTCCTTCTGTTTTACTGGAAGTCTTTTGAAGCCAACGATGAGCCAGCTTTACCACCCAACTTTAACTGGGTCAGGGCTGTGACCAGCAGTCGGTGGAGTGGAGAACCCCTCCCTGATGACGGAGCTCCTCTGTCCACCCCAGACAATGACACCCACCCTGTGACGAGGCTGGTTCTGGCTCGTCACTGTTGGCAGTCTCTTGTCTTCACAGCCGTGAACTCTTGAACACCCCACATCTTCGCCACAGCTAACCAGGAAAGTTAGTCAGTGGCCAGTTTGCATTTTTGATGAAAACTTTAAAGCCCTTTTTTTTTATTTTATAGAAAAAATGTTGGTGGAGTTCCACTTTGCAGCGCTTTCTTTTTCTCTCCAGGGCAAAACAGAGAGTAATGTCAGAGCATCATCATCATCATCATTATTATCATCATTGTTGTTCCCAGTCTCAGTTGAGCTTGAACTGCTGTATCATAGATCATCATGTCCCGAAGAGTCACACGGGCGAGTTTCTCCGGAGATTTGTATCTGCTCTGCCGGGTCGTACTTCTTGGATTCCAGGACGTTCGGATCATTCCGAGAATCTGACCCAGCTCCTCCCCGCGCATGTCATCGGTTGTGGTGATTTAGAGGCTCGGCCAGAGGGCGAGCTGACTTGCTACATCTGTGTCTCACATGGCAGTAAGAAAAACAAGGCATCGCTTGTGTGGTTGGCGAGCTGCTTTGTGTGCAGTGACCACTAGAGGGGATCTCAGTTCCCTTAGTCCCTGCTGTCCTTTGCTATTGTATTCCATGCTTTGTACAGAACAATCAGTGTTATAAACATGAGTTTCAGCTCTAAAGTTGTGGGTTGAGTAATTGTCTTTAATTCTTACAAGCATATTCAGGCCAGTTCTGTACTATTATTGCCACAAAAAAAATGGGAAGTACGTGGTGGGGGCTGCATTGTGGGGGTGGGGGCGGTTCACTTTTTTTTTTTTTTACACTGTCCTCTAATTTAGTGGGGGGGGGGAAATCAGTTATGTGGCCTGAGGATAAGGTGATTCTGGAGCTTACTGCACTCTTTCTTGATCATTTAGAAAACTGCAGTATTCGCAGCAGCAGCTTCCAGAGGTGAAGTTTGAGAAGCCCTGCAAAAAAAAAAAAAAAATGCATTGAAATACTGCGAAAATGTGTTGGCATTTTAAAATAAACCTTTTTGAGCCAAGGACGCTCTTTGTGACGTACAAACGTGAAGATGATCAGAATCCACAGAGACTTAAAAGACCATTTAAAAAATGTCATCCAGATGACACAAAATCTGCAAGCCTGTCTCACTTTTGACCCGACAAGAGAAAGCTTCGGTCTTGGTTTGTGTTCACCATTTTCTCCGCCTTGTCCATCCTGTGCAGACGAAGCTGCCCGTGCTGCTCCTTGGCCGCTCTGCGGACCTCCGGCCCGGAGAGTTCGTGGTCGCCATCGGCAGCCCGTTCTCCCTGCAGAACACCGTCACCACCGGGATCGTCAGCACCACCCAGAGAGGGGGCAAGGAGCTGGGCCTCCGCAATTCAGACATGGATTACATCCAGACGGACGCCATCATCAACGTGAGTGATCGCACAGGAGAGTGAGGCTTAAAAGAAGTGAAAAACGTCTTAAGCTGATTGCAAGTTTTATCTGTTGTTGTAATGGAGGTGAACTCAGGGAATGAAAGTTTCATCTTGTTTGTTTACTTGCAGTACGGGAACTCAGGAGGGCCATTGGTCAATCTGGTAAGTTTGAAATGTCTTTTGTGCATTTTGTTCAATATATAAATATTGAACAAAATATTTACTTGTGGAGAAAATATGAGGAGACGCCAATCAACGTTTGCTGCTGTTGTTTAAACTTAAATGACTCGCATCTCACACAACAACATGGTTTCTTTCCTCCTCAGCAGACACAACAGTGGTGTTTAGGAAAACGCCTGTATCGCCTGCATATTTCATATTTTGTCAGGTCACAGCCACAGACTTCATCGTGTTTTTGTGCGATTTTTGCAGGATAAACCAACAAATGGCTGAATGTTGATGCTTGGGCTAAGAATTTTGTTTTGCACGTATGGAGCGTGAAATGTTTTGCGCTGGATTCTGATTCACGTATCACACATTCAAGCATTGATTTTAATGACTTTTCCACTTGGGCCGTGAGGGCTTTAATATTTTAACACAATGGATTCCACTCCTCTAATAAACACGGGCCGGCCCCATAAAGCCTTTTTTTGTTTTTTTTTCTTCTGACCGGCCTTATGAAATCTGTAAAACAAAAACAGAACTTTTAATACGACTTGACCTCATCCAAGATATGATGTCAGACGCCACGTCGCGCAAACAAACACCGAGCATCGCTAAGTTCTCATTAGTCGAAGGAAAATAATCCGTTTAGGTAACACTTGGCAGGCGACGTCAGGTCCACAGCTGACTCTGATTTTCAGCCGTGTTACTTGAAATGCGTGTGAACTGATGCCAAACTGTTGTTTTTTTCCCCCTGCAGGACGGGGAGGTGATTGGCATCAACACTCTGAAGGTCACTGCCGGAATCTCCTTCGCCATCCCATCGGACAAGATCAGGCAGTTCCTGGCAGAGTCACACGACCGGCAGGCCAAAGGTCCGCCACTCTGTCTGCCTTGTGCAACAAATGGCTTTAATCACTCAGTTAGAAATCGCTACAGTTTTTCTGGAGTTTTTGGGTTTTCTTCATGAGTCACAGATTATTGTTTCCCTGAAATATGCGGCTCGTTCAGCTGTAGCCACGGAGGAGAAACAATTTAGTTTTGTTTCCAAAAGGTGTTGCCATTGATGAACCTGCATGACCCACAGTCTTGATTTTATTTGAATTTATGTTGAATCATGGGCTGGATTGTTGGTGAAAAAGTCACTCTGTCACAAAGACAATGATTTCATGAGATAAATAAAGAAAATTTAGTCATATGAGACGTAGAAAAAAACATCCCCATGATGTCCGCTCATAGGGTTGCCGTTTTAAAATCTCAGATAACATATTATTCTTCCTCCCTTAACTGAAAACATCTTTTTAATAGCTTTACAGAAACTAACTCATTTTGTTTCAGCTACATTTAACAATTAATTTTAAAACTTAATGCTGCAAACACCTAACTAAGCAAAAAGAAATCTAGAACAAACATGGAGACATTTTTCTGCTGCTACTGCATTTATTTATCTCAGTAAGACCGACTCAGGACTCTTAGCACGTGGTTCCGTCTTTCTGGGTGGATTTTAGTAAGCTGTGAGTCACCTTTGACCTTCTAAAACAGGATGCCTTTAAAAATACCACTTTGTAAAGTTCTCACTTGACCTCGTTCTGCTGCTTTCTCTCCATTAGACAGGCCTGGAATTTAAGAAAAACAAAACAAAACTGAATTTCACCTTTCTGCACATAATTACCAGCACTTTTCTTTGTTGTTCCGGAGAACTCAAATAATAAATCAGACCAAGCGCGTCGCACACAGCAACGCGACTTTCACCGGATCGGGTTGCATTTGTCCTGACGTTAACACAGAACACTGCAGGACCCTCTGCAAGCCAAGCGGCTATGACGTAAATAAAACCAAATAGTCCAAAACTCTGTCATGATGGGAGGTTAAAAAGAGTTGACCCAGCTGTGTGTGTAGTCAGCTGTGATTGGGACCAGTTGGCTGCAGGAATAAAAGTCATCATTTCCAGTGAAATGTATTTATTCCAAGCATTAAAGTACTTCATATCAAGTCATTTTGGGTGACTTGTGTTTTGCATGATCCTCTGAAACTTTAACATTATATTTAATGCTTGCAGACTTCTTTGAAAACACCTGCTTACTGCGACTTTTTATTTTTTTGTTTCCCACAGGGAAAACATTACCAAAGAAGAAATACATCGGTGTCAGAATGATGAGTCTCACTCCGTCGTAAGTTTCAGTGTCAGACTGCATCACATTTCAATCCCATACATGACCCACAAAAGAAACATCTTGATTGCCAAGCGTAGGTTACAAAACGTACCCGGATCTCTGTTGCCTCTAAAGCTTGACATGGGGAGCCGAGGGCAGTAGAAGGTTTTCCGGCTAACAAGGATCAGCAGACTGACAATGTTTTAGTTCAGCTTTCGCTACCTGCTGCCAATTTTGAGGTGGAAACAGGCAGGGACAGAGGATACAAGAGAGCAGCCAGTGAGGAGGAGGAAGATCCGAGAAACAGACAGAATCCGCCTCAGTTTGTGATGGATGTTTCAGTTTAAAGATCCCAAAAGATGAATTGAAGCTTAACTGCCTGAGTCACATAATTGGTATGGCCTTGAAAAGCATTTATATCACATTCTTCACCGTTTTTTCATATTTGAGCCAAAACCTTCGACGCACTTTATTCTCAAGACAAAGTAGAGTGCTGGAAACCCTTTTTTTTAACAAACAAGGACTGGAAAAGTCAGGTTAACTCCAGATTCACTTCTACAACACAAGAAGCCACACAATCGTGGCACATTGAAGACATCGATAATAATTGTATTTTTGAGATGCCACAATAATACAATTTTTTTAATTTAATATTTTGCAGAGTTTTAAACCTCTTAGTGCTAGTTAATGTTTCAGAATCAGACATCACCCAATTGAGTATCATGAAATCCCCGTGGTTGACGTGTTTTGAAGGTTTTCACCACTTTTTTTTAGGCCCGAGCAGCTAAGCGCTGCGAAGGCCTATTGTTTCTGTACTGTTTCTTATTATTAGGCCCGAGCAGCTAAGCGCTGCGAAGGCCTATTGTTTCTGTACTGTTTCTTATTATTATTATTACGATTCTCCCTCCAAATGAATTGGCTTTTTGGGGGCTTTATCATATTCAAAAACTCACCAAACTTGGCGGATGCGTAAAGGGAGTTTCAAATTTACGTATTTTAAAGTCGTCGCAAACATTCCACAAGAAATGGCTCAATAGCGCCACCTAGAAATTTTCAAAGGACCCTTTGCTATTCACTTACTTTATCCTAGAGACATGAAATTTGGTACACTTGTAGAGCTCCCAAAGATGCTCAAAATTTACAATTAATGTCATAGTGCAAGTATCACAGGAAGTCGGCCATTTTGGATTGAAGGTCCAATTTTGAGCCCATTTTTGCCGTTTACAGCCTTCATATTTGATCGAACTCCTCCTAGGGATTTCCATTGACCGGCTTCAAACTCGGTCAGTCTGTTCATAAGGCATGTCCCATCTAAAGTTATCAAAACGGTGAGTTTTTGAGTATGCTTTTGGGGGGTTAGCAGGGGTCAAAGTTCACCTAGTCGCCGTAAAAAAATAAACTGCTATATCTCCTACACAGAAACTCACAGAGGCACCAAAGTTACTGTGATTGATCATCATTCGCTGCCCTACAATACCCTATGGTCGAATGATGACATCACTTAGGCCACGCCCCCTGAGAACAGGAAGTGTAATGTTTTACTGTGAACTGTCGCTATCTGACCCCTTTGACCTCATCAACATGAAACTGTGCCCAGACACAGAAAACATGTTGGTGTATTGAGGATTCCAACCCCGACCAGCTTCGATGGAGCAGCTGGGCGTGGCGGCGTGGCGAAGTGACCTGTAACGCCATCGCCATACGTTTGGCTCTCAATTCCACATTTTTGGGCCCAGCTGCTCCAATTTCACAAAGATGGACCCTCATCTACTCCCCGACAGGAATCCATCACAATATTTGGAGGGTGTGGCCTAATTTCTCTATAGCGCCACCTAGAACACTTTAAATGATCAGCCCCAAGCCATGCTTTAACCTACAATTATGAAACTTTGTACACGTGTGTACCTTGTCAGGACTTACAAAAAAGTCTCTTGGAGCCATTGTCTAAACCCCACAGGAAGTCAGCCATTTTAGATTGAAGTTTGGATTTTGACCCATTTTTGCCGTTTACAGCCTTCCTATTTGATCGAACTCCTCCTAGGGATTTCGATTGATCGGCTTCAAACTCGGTCAGTCTGTTCATAAGGCATGTCCCATCTAAAGTTATCAAAACGGTGAGTTTTTTTGAGAATGCTGAAGGGGGGTTAGCAGGGGTCAAAGTTCACCTACTCCCCATAAAAAATAAACTGCTATATCTCCTACACAGAAACTCACAGAGGCACCAAAGTTTGAGTGATTGATCATCATCGGGTCTCCTATAATACCCTATGGTCGAATGATGACATCACTTAGGCCACGCCCCCTGAGAACAGGAAGTGTAATGTTTTACTGTGAACGTTCGCTATCTGACCCCTTTGACCTCATCAACATAAAACTGTGCCCAGACACAGAAGACATGTTGGTGTATTGAGGATTCCAACCCCGACCAGCTACAATAGAGCAGGTGGGCATGGCGGCGTGGCGAAGTCACCTGTAACGCCATCGCCATACGTTTGGCTCTCAATACCACATTTTTGGGCTCAGCTGCTGCAAACTCACAAGGATGAATATTTATCCGCTCCCCGACTGGAATCCATCACAATATTTGTAGGGCGTGGCCTAATTTCTCTATAGCGCCCCCTAGAAAACAGCAGCCCATAGGTTATGTTATTATTAGTTATTTAAATATACATTATTATAACTTTTTATATATATATAAGTTTATTTTGTGGGTTAAAGTACAAACATTCATTCATTTTTGCTAGAAATAATACAAAAAAAGTCATTCAGCAAAACTTATGACACAGTGAAGTAAGAACACACTGGGGTCAGTGTTGATGGAGTACCGCTGGCACCTTGTGGCGAAATACTGGTACTGCTAGTGCAATACCAGTATGGCGCCAGCAGGAGGCAGTGGTACTCCATCAATGAGAAAACAGATCGACGCTACGTAATAACAGTCAGCCGGCGACAGCTGGAGCTGCGACGTTTTCCTGAACATTTTGCCTGCTTTTTGGAGCCACAGAACTGGACTACGCTCAACATTTTGCTTGGATTTTGGAGTTGGAAATCCGAACCACGCTTTTGAGCAAGAAGGCTCTGTTGGACCGGAGTTGGAGAAGTTTAATGGGCTCTTTGCACCTCAGCTTACACGTTCGGGAAAAACGGCTGAAATGTTTTTCCAAGGTAACAATTAATAATGTACATCGATCCGAAACCCCAACAAGTAAGGCAAAGAATGGTTTTAAGATGTTCGCCTCGTTATACATTCACAGATATGAAGGTGAGTTTTATTTTCTTTAAACTGCTAGCACAAGCCTGCTAGCTTTCTAGTAAAAATCTGCTATTTAATTATCTAAAGATTTCTCAGCCATTCTAACGGACACTGTTTGTGCCTTATTTTCAAGCATATTACGTGTGTTTATTGTTAACGACAATAAAGCAGCGGGGAGGGGGGGGGGCAGATTACAGTTCAGAGTTTTTGCTTGAAGTATGACGAAGAAAAACGAGCACAGAGCTTACTCTGGTATTGGAGTTCTAGTTTCAGCTGACTGTTCAGATTCAGAGTTATTACTTTTAGAAAATATGGCCGTGTTGCTTAAGATTTCTGTGTTATTTCGTTTTATTACTTTTGCATGCTTGTTGTGAATGGCTCATTAAGACAGTGTTTAGAGCGGTGTGTACGGCGTTAGCTTCAAGTGGTAGCTTTAACTTGTAGCAACGAATATTTACAAGCTGTCTTAATTGAGGATCGCTTGGAAATCCATGAAAACCTAAACAAAGTACATAGTATTGTTTTATTTGAGTCTTAAGTACGACTTTGTCTTTTATAGCAGTCATAGTTTCTGAAAGTGGAAAAAAGAGCCGCATTCGGGTATACAGTTGTGACGTCAGCGCGGCAGGTGCAAAGAGCCCATTGCTGTTCGTTTAAACAGTCGTAACTCGCGGTGCGGGAGAGTAATTTATTCCTTCCTGCTGGTTTTGAAAGCCGTCATGTTTGGAACAGTTATTCTGAGGAGGATGCTAACCCAATGCCTGAGGCCTGCAACGTTTTTAATGCTAACGAAGCGCTTTACTAATTAAATAACTGAATAGTGTGTGTGATACATCCAGTTTCATACATTGAGAGTTGTTTGTTATTATGTATAGAAGATGTTTAAAATGTCGTTTGAAAGAGCTCTGAAAAAATGCTAAGTATCTTTTTACCGATCCATTGGGGTTGTAATATTTAGTTGCAGCACTTCCTGTGATTAATACCTAATTAATGGATGGGATTCAGCCTGTGCTATTGTTCTAATGTGCTGAAAGTTAACTGTGCTCTCTTAATGTGCATTGCCCTTGGTTTATTACTGAACAGTGCGGTTTATTAAACTGATACATCTTAACCTTCACCATTTTCCTGACTCATTTCACGATAACGTCAAAGTTGCACTGCATTTAGATCTCAGTTGTAGTTAACATCAAGCATGTGGGTGTGGCTTAGTGTAAAACTTTCACTATTTACCATGAAAGATCAACATTAAATGACTTCCAAATGCAAGATCACAGCTGCATCATCACACTTCCTCTGTCTTTCTAGAGAAGCCCTGAACACATTTCCATGGTCACTTGATGACCTCACTGTAGCCCCGCCCACTTTTAAGAGGCAGTCACATGTTTTTTCTGCTGTATGTTTTACTGTTATTCTATAATTTATATGGGTTTCATCATGTGAATACTGACTAAAAACGATAACATGATGAACTCTATGAATACTGGCTGCTGACCGAACCGCATTGGGGTAGAAATGACGAAATGCATTACTTCGCCATGTGCATATGATCGGCTGTAAATGACACGTGGATCATCCGACTGACGACAAATTGGATACGTATGACCTTTGTTGACCTCTAAAGAGAACAACAGCATTGAAATATATTTTGACTCCACTGCGCGTCCTACATTAATCCGCCAGCTATATTTCCTCGCTAAACCAATGAATCTGCACCACAATTTTTGCATCGTCAAGGAGCGCCTCCGAACGCATCAGTGCGTACCGC